TGGCGGGGCGGAGCCGGGCGGGGCTGTGTGTTGGGGGGCATCATCTCCACCCCCTTCCCCTGGGCAGCTGGGCAGGGGGGTTAGTGACCTGCCCCCTCCCAACCCAGGGGGCTCCGTGCCAGGCTCCGCCTTGCCCTATGGGTTTTTGTGAGCCCAGATGCCTGGGTTCTCTCCAAGCTCAGGAAGGGGGTGGGGACCGGGGGGCTAGGAGCAGATAAGGGAGCCGTTGGTCACCTGGGCCCTCACCCCCAGGCTGGAACATGTGGGTGCAGCACCCAGGGCAGTCGGGCGGGGGCAACTGTTGCTGTGCCAGGGGCAGTGGGCAGCACTGGGCATGTGGGCATGAGGGTGATGCACAGGGCGCAACACATGGTGCAGACCCGCACAAACGCAAGCCACATCTGACACCACCTAGCCCCATGCACAACTGCAGCCCTGTGCTCTTGAAACACATCCCCAGCCCAGCACACCTCAACCTGCGATGCAGCCCCGAGGTAGAACTGAGACACAACCCTAAGACATGACCACATACAACAACAGCCCCAGGCTCCTGACACACAACCCCACACCTCATCCTAAGACACAACCCCAAGGTATAGCCACAGCCTGAGACATGACCACATGTGACAACAGATCCATGTCCTGGACACACACCTCAGCCCAGCACACCTCAACCTGAGACACAGACCTGAGGTACAACCACAGCCTGAGTTACAGCCACAGGAGACAACAAATCCAAACTTCTGACAATCCCAGCACAGCACACCTCAACCTGAGACAATCCTTAGGTTTAGCCACAGACTGGGATACAATTTTGAGACATGATCACACATGACAACAGCCCTGTGCTCCTGAGAAGCAGTCCTGAACAAGCACACTGCAACGTGAGACACAACTGCAGCCCCATGCACAGGCTGAGCCTGACACTGCCCAACCCTGTGCCCAACAGCAACCCTGTGTTCGACACACCTCATCCCAAAACACAACCAAACCCCATGCACAGGCTGAGCCTGACACATGGCCTTCACCAACACAGAACCCATCTCCATGCACAACACCTCCTGACACACAATCCCAGCACACCTCACCTTAAGATACAACCCTAAGACACAACCACAGCCTGAGATACAACCACACACAGCAACAGCTTCATGCTTCTAACACACAATCTTGACCCAACCCTGACACACAACCCTGAAGCACAACCATAGCTTGCAACCACACACAACAACAGCTCCACACTCCTGATAAAAAAAGCCCAGCCCCACACACCTCAACCCAAAACAACCACTATGCCATGCACAGGCCAAGCCTGACACACAACCCAACCCCACACATAACAGCTTCATGCTCCTGACACATAACCCCAGCCCAGCCCACCTCAACCTGAGATAACCACCCAAACCCACACACAGCAACAGCCTGCTCCTGATACACCACCCCAGCCCAGCACACCGCAACCCAAGATACAAACTGCAGCCCCATGCCAAGCCTGACTCACAGTCCAATGCCACATGTGACAACAGCCCCACACTCCTCATGTGCAACCCCAAACCAACACCCCCCCAACCATGCACCACAACAGCTCTGTGCTCCTGACACACAACCCCAACCCAGGACACAACTACAGCCCCTCCACACAGGCAAAGCCTGATACATAACCCCAACCCAACAACACAAAACCTCAGTTAAAGACGCATCCCAACCCCACACATGACAACAGCCCTACACTCCTGATAAACACCTGCAACCCAACTGAGTTACAACCCTACCCCACACAACCTCAAACAACCTCAAACAACCTCGAACTGAGATACAACCCAACCCCACACATGACTACAGCCCAATGCTCCTAAAACACAACCTCACCTGAAACACCCTGATGCACAGTCATAACTCCATGCACAGCCTGTTGCAAAACCGCACCGTGACAGCTCCCCCAAACAATCACAGCCCCATGCACAAACACACCACTGAATAAGAGACCCAGGCACAAATACCCCCAACACCAATGCACACCCAGCCATAGTGGGCACACACAGACACATGCACAAATACACAACCACATCCACATACATGTTTGCGGGGAGCGGGGGAGAGGCCCCCAACACATATGTATGACCACAACTACATGCACACCCATCCATAGAAGACATGGGTTCTGACACGTGCTCTGGTTCATAAATATAGAACCACATAGAGCATGTGTGCATGCACACAAACACACACACACACACACACACACACACACACAGAGCCACAATCACAGCCGAAACAGAGATGCAAGGAACAAGATGTGACCTCATCCATTCCCAATGCACTTCCATAGAGAGAGAGACACACACACACACATGCTCACACATACTCACAACAGACATGCAAACAGATGCTCTCTCTCTCTCACACACACACATGCACACATGCTCCATCTGCTCAGGTAACTCACAGGAACCTGAAGTTCAACCCCTGTTATTTAGGAAGGAACCCGCTCAGTACTGGGTGGGGGGGAGGGCTGTGGGTTGAGAGTGAGGGGCACCAGCAGAGATGGGGGCCAGGGGGCTGCAGAACAGGAGTGAGGGGCAGTGGCAGGGCTGGGGGGGCAGGGGGCTGTGGTATGGGAATGAGGGGCACCAGCAAGGCTAGGTGGGGAAGGGGCCCAGAGGTGGGGTGCGGGGCACTGGCAGAGTTGCATATCAGGCAAGGAGGGGAAGGAATCCAGCAGATCCAGGTGCGAGCCAGGCCTGCTGAGGGGCCCCTTCCCCCCAGGGAAATGCCAGATGTCATCAGAGGCATCAGAGATGGGGGCAGAAGCTGAACTGGGGGCTGTGCTGCACTGCTAGAACACCCCTGCAGGGTTAGTACTAGCCTAGGGGGTTGTGTCAGGGCTTAATGCAGGGAGACGGCTCCTCTTCAACTGGGCTGCTGCCTCCCCCACCATGATGAGCCCAGGGATCCCCTCCCTCTGCCCCAGCCAGTGCCCCCTGCCCTGAGGCCCGATCAGGTCCCTGCCCCGTCTTTTAGGGGTCCCTCCCATTCCATGGGACATGGGCCTCAGGGGGCTGAGGGGCACAGACAGACGGATGGACATGGCAGCTCTGAGGCAGAAGGACACAGTCCCATGGGCTGTATGGGCACAGAGCAGGGCAGGAGGCAGGGTGCTGGGTAGATAAATCTAGGGGTGCTGGCAGCTTGGACACCTGGGTTCACTCCCAGTTCTGGGAGGGGAGTGGTTTCCAATAGTTAGAGCAGAAGGGGCTGGGAGCCAGAATGCCTGGGTTCTTTCCCAGCTCTGGCAGGGGAGCAGGATCTAATGAGTTGGAACAGGGTGGGGCTGGGGGGCCAGGTGCCTGGGTTCATTCCTAGATAACCTCAGTTTGGGGGGGGTGTCCTAGAAGAAAGAGATCCCCATGCCAGATACTGCACACACCCCTGGTCAGGATCCTCTGCTCCTGCCTCTGTGAGCATGACCCAGCCCTCCAGTTGTACAGAGATGGGATGTGGGACCTAGACAGATGGACAGACAGAGGCCCCTGATGGAGCCAGCCCCTACACTGCCCACAGGGGAGTCAGCTGGGTCATGCTCACAGAGGCCCCTGATGGAGCCAGCCCCTACGCTGCCCACAGGGGAGGGGGATCCCCTGACTGAGACTCCCCACCCCTCACCCCCTACAGCCCCTGAGTCCAGTAGGTGCTAGGGTCGAGACCTGGCCAGAAACAGCTCCTGCCTTCCAGGCGGTTAGGATGCTGAAGCTGCACCAGGCTGGGGAGGGAGGAGAGGCCCAGCATCAGACCAGGCTAGGGCCAGGTAGCAGGTTGAGAGCAGGGGGCTGGGACCCTGGACCCCTGGGTTCTATTCCTGCCCCTACTCCCATGGTGGAAAGCAGCAGGTCTGACTGAGCTGGTGCTTTGCCAGCCTACTCTTTGCTCACTCATGGCCCCAGGGGCAGCGCTGGGTAATTGCCCAGGTAATGGATGGCACCATCTGGTACCAGATGGGCTCCAACGCTGAGAGGTAGGAAGCAGCTGGGACAGGAGCAGCCTGAGAGCCAGGGCTCAGGTCTTCTGTTCCCAGAAGCAGGGCAGGAGAAGAGCTAGACCTCCTGCCCAGAGCTGGGAGAGAACCCAGGTGTCCTGGCTCTCAGAACCCCTGCTCTAACCCACTAGACCTCGCCATCCCACTGGAGAAAACCCAGGTGTCCAAGATCCCAGCCCCCTTCCCCCTTTGGGGAGCACTCAGGAAGGTAATGGTATCTGGATCCCTCAGGCCATAGGACAGGAAAGGGCCCTGGCTGCCTGCTGGCCTTCCTAGTGTCCCGAGCCCCATGTCCTGCCCCCCTGCCAACCTCCCCACAGGTGCAGAGATGAATGCGGCACGGAGATCAGCCATGCTGGCCACAGAGGGGCCAGCACCCCAGCCGCAGGGGACTCGCAACACCACCCAGGTGCCCACACGAGAAAACTTCTCCAAAATGAAGGACAAGTTCATGAACAAGATCAGCAAGCTGCCCAGTGAGTGATTCTCCTCCCTCCCCTGTCATGCACACCTCCTGGGACAGGGGCTTCAGCTAGGCCTGAGATACAGTCCCCACAACATGCGCCACCCCAGAGGCAGCTGCATCCCAGCACCGAGTGAGGGGTCCTGATATAACCGGTGCCATGATGTACCTCTCCCCAGCTGCAGCTGCATTGGAGCACTGGGTAATGGGTCCATGTATAAATAGACCCTGCTGCGTCCTACCCCAGAGGTGGATGCATAGAGCACTGGGGAAGGTTTAACCACACCCTGACGTGCCCCATTGCAAGGGTGGCTGCATTTCACTGCCCAGCAAAGGGTCCCTGTATAACCAACATTTGAATCAGTGCACGCCAGAGGCCACTGCCTCTTAGCACCAGGCTGATGGTCCCTGCATACGATAGCCCTTGAGCTGCCTGCCCCCGAGAAGTAGTTGCATTCCAGCTTTCCTCCTGTCCCCGGCTGCAGTCCCACCCTGGGCTCTGGCCACAATCTTGATCGTCGCTGGACTCCTGCTGCTGTGCTGCTGTGTCTGCCTCTGCAAGAAGTGTCTGGGCCGGAAGAGGAAGGGCAAGAAAGGCAAGGACAAGGTGAAGGCCCAGATCAACATGAAGGAGGTCAAGGACCTGGGCAAGAGCTACATCGACAAGGTGAGGCCAGGGCGGGGGGGCAGGAGGTGTGGAGGGTACGGGGGCTGTTTTCTTCCAAGGGGCATTGGCCCCAAGCTGGGGAGCACTGGCTGGGCAGGGGGGGCACTGACTGACTCCCAGGGGTCCAAGCCTTGGGGAGATGAGCCCCTGAAGGCCAGGTGGGAGATTCCTGATAGAGGGGGCTCCCCCAGTGCCAGGGGTGGGGGGGGCTGATGACAATAGCAGTGTATCCCCAACTGGTGTATCCCCAAATGTATTTGTAGTGGGCTGCTTTATAGCGGGGAGTTGGAGGGGGTATGTCCAGGGATGGGTGTCTGGGAGAGCTGTGACCATGTGGGTTGAATGCGTGGGGCTGCGGCCGGGCACATGTCCATACATGTGCATCTATGTTAATAGGTGTGAGGGCAGAAAGTATGTGTAAGGTCCCTGTCTATGAGATAGCGCCCCTCCCCCCGCCCTGTTGGTACCCCTCACTCCCGAACTGCAGCCCCCTGCCCCACCCACAGCCTTTCCAGTGTACCTCATTCCTGACCCACAGATCCCTGCCCCCCAGCCTGCTGGTGCCCCTCACTCCCAACCCACAGCCCCCTGCCCTGCTGCTGCCCATCACTCCTGTGTCCAGCCCAGTCCCTCTGGACCAGGGGCATGTGCCAGGTCTCTCTGGGTAAGCAGGGCTGGGAGGATCTGGGCATCTCTGTGTGCAAGGTCTGGGGCAAAGGGCCCTGTGTGGGAGGGTGTCTGTGTGTGCACGGTCCCTGCATGTGAGTAAGGCCCTCCACCCCCCACCCCTCCTCACCCATGTGTGAAGCCCCTGGGCATGCCTTATGTGTAGAAAACATGTACAAGGCTCCTGAATGTGCAAGGCCCTGCACTGCACATGTGATACCACTGAGTGTATAAGGTCCTTGGGTGTGCAAGGCCTCACATGTGCAAGGCCTCTGGGTAAGCAAGGCCCTGAAGGTGCTAGACTGTGTGTGCAAGGCCCACAGGATCCCCAGGTGTGCAAGGCCCTGCATATGCAAGGCCTTTGTGTGTGCAAGGCCTCACATGTGCAAAGCCCCTAAGTGTGCAAGGCCCCTGGGAGTGCAAGGATCTGCCTCCCCCCAGGTGCAGCCTGACATAGAGGACCTGGACCCAGCACTGGTGCAGGAGCCGAAGGAGGAGAAGCCACAGGAGAAGCTGGGCAAGCTGCAGTACTCGCTGGACTACAACTTCCAGAACGGGCAGGTGGGCCCCACCCTCCCTTGCCAGGGGACCCAGGCATCTGGCTCCCAAACTGACACCCGCCCCCCAGCCCAGTCTAACCCACCAGACCCCACTCCTTTCCCAGAGCTGCAGGGGGGAGGACTCATAACTCCCAGCATCCCCCACTCCCTCCCTCCCTCCCACAGCCGGGAAGAGAACCCAGGAATCCTGGTGCTCCAGCTGGGGGTACTGTTGTGGGGGAGCTCGCAGCACTGGAGGATCAGGGCACTGCTGTGGGGAAGCTTGCAGCACTTCAGGTTCCCCCTCCCCACCCCGCCCCACAGCTGGTGGTAGGCATTCTGCAGGCAGCTGACCTGCCAGCCCTGGACCTGGGGGGCACGTCCGACCCTTACGTCAAGGTCTTTCTGCTGCCTGAGAAGAAGAAGAAGCATGAGACCAAGGTGCATCGCAAGACCCTGAACCCCATCTTCCACGAAACCTTCACCTTCAAGGTAGGCCCTGCCCCTCCCCCCAGCCCTGCTGGTGCCCCTCGCTCCCAGTCCACATGCCCCTGGCCCTCCAGCCCTGCCCGCACCCTCCTCTGCTCTACAGTCCCGCTGGCGCCTTCCAGCTCCCCTTCCAGCCCAGCCCTGCTGCCTCCCCCACCTCCAATCTACAGCCCTTTGCCCCCTCCAGAACTGCTATTCCCCGCCAAAAGGCCTTTGGGGTGGAGTGAGTGCCTGCTGCTGCCGGCTGATGGGTGCCATGCCCACAGATCCCGTACGCAGAGCTGGGTGGGCGCACACTGGTTATGGCTGTGTACGACTTCGACCGCTTCTCCAAGCACGATGCCATCGGGGAGGTGCGCGTGCCCATGAGCTCTGTGGACCTTGCCCACATCATTGAAGAGTGGCGTGACCTGCAGTCCCCCGAGAAGGAGGAGGTGAGCCCTACCCCATCCCCACCCCATATCTCCCTTACCCCACCCACCCGGACAAGATCATGCCCCTATCCCCACCCTTGATGGGCATTGCCCTGCCCCCTCTGGTCATAACCCCACCTCAGCCTCACCCCACCTGAGCATAGCCATGGCCCCAGCTCCTCTGGGTATAGCCCTGTCCCAAATCTCGCCCCCTTTGGGCTTAGCTCTGCCCCAAGTCCCACCCCATCTGGCCAGGCCACACACCCCAGGCCCGCCTCCTCTGAGCATGGCTCCACCCTTAGCCCTGCCCCCTCTGGAGATGGCCACACCCTTCCTAGGGAGCCCCAAGCAGTAGGGGATTGTGGGAGCTCCCTGAGACCTGGAAAGAAAAATCCCAGTGGGGGGTGGGGGAGCAGGGAGGTCAGGAGAGTTGTATTCCAGTACAGGGCAATGATGGGCAATGGGGGTCCCCTATATCCCAATGAAGGGTTGTAATGGGCAATGAGGGGGTCTCCTATATCCCAGTAGGAGGTAAAGATGGGTAATAGGGGAGTCTCCTGTAAACCCAGGGGGATGGTGCTGAGTGGGAGGGTCCCCTAGACCCCTGGGTATAACCAGCCCCATGCACTGCCCCCAGCACGAGAAGCTGGGCGACATCTGCTTCTCCCTGCGCTATGTGCCCACGGCCGGGAAGCTCACCGTCATCGTGCTGGAAGCCAAGAACCTCAAGAAGATGGACATGGGGGGGCTTTCTGGTGAGATGCGCTGCGAGCTTCCCCACAGCAGTGCCCCCAGCCAGTGCCTTCCCTGGTGCAGTGAGCTTACCTACAGCAGTGCCCCTAGCAGGCATCTTCCAGCATTGCAAGCTTCCTCACAGTAGCGCCCACTGCTGGACCACCTTCTTTGCCTCTGGGGAGTCTGACACTGGCCCAGATATCAGAGGCCCACTGGCCCCCTGGAACTGGGGTGGGGCCTGGGGGCTTCCAAGACCATGAGCCAGGAATCGTGGATAGCTCCTAGTCGGGGTGAACAAGGGCTGGGGAGGGGGATGGGTGGGAGCTGTGTCCACTGATGCACCCTTACAAAGGGGGGCCAGGTGCCTCAGGGGTTGACGGTGTCTCCCTGCCCCTACACAGACCCCTATGTGAAAATTCACCTGATGCAGGCCGGGAAGCGGCTGAAGAAGAAAAAGACGACCATCAAGAAGAACACTCTGAACCCCTACTACAATGAGTCCTTCAGCTTTGAGGTGCCCTTCGAGCAGATCCAGGTGAGAACCCTACCTCCCACCAGCCGGTGCCCTTGTGTCCTGGGGCCAGAGAGGGCCAAAGCCCCCTAAAATGGGGAAGGTCCCTGCATCTGTCTCTGACCCATTGGACACTGCTACAGGGAAGATCACAGCTCTGAGCTCCATCCCTGCTGGGTTATAGAATCACAGAGAAGCAGGGCTGGAAGGGTCCTCCAGAGGTCACCTAGTTCAGCCCCCTGCCTGAGGCAGGATCAGCCCTGTCCAAACCATCCTGTACAAATCCAGAATCTAAACTCTTCATAAAACTATCGTCAACCCTGACACAACACAAGACATCACACCTGAACCCGCCACAGGTAAAGCAGGAGGACCACAGCAGCCAACATCCTGCTGCTAGAAAACATACCCCTCCTCTCGCCACCCTCCCCGCAGTCCACACCAATCTGACCAGAGGGTAAAATTCCTTCCTGACCCCAACTATGGTTATCAGTCTGACCCTTAGTGGAGGGGCAAGACCCTCTTGACAGAAACCGCTGGTGTGAAGTTCCAGCAGGAGCATTGGCACAGCCCAGTCACAATCCCAAGCCTTGGCTGCAGCCAGTATCTAATGCCTCTGAGGAAGCTTGAACACACCCTAACACGTGTAGCAGAAAGCGGGGGAGAAGGGCAACCAGCAAAGCCCAGAAGCCTGGTAATCCCCAGAACATAGAGCTACACCTAGATCATCCCCAACCAGGGGCTGTCCAGCCTCTCCCTGAACACCACCAGTGATGGAGAGTGCACAGCTTCCCTAGGTAGAAGTCATGGGGGTCACAGCAGGGTACACTGTATAAGCTCACAGCACTGTGGGAAACCCCTGCCTGATGGAACTGTTGTGGGGAAGCTCACAGCATGGGTCTCCCACATGACCCTCGTTTCTCCTCCACCTCCAGAAGGTCCAGGTTGTCCTTACTGTCCTGGATTATGACAAGCTGGGGAAGAATGAAGCCATCGGGAAGGTCTGTGTGGGTTGCAACGCTACAGGCACAGAGCTGCGCCACTGGTCTGACATGCTGGCCAACCCACGGCGGCCCATTGCTCAGTGGCACACCCTCCAGACAGAAGAGGAGGTGGATGCTGCCCTGGGCATCAAGACCTCCTGATGCCCCTGCCCACCGCCTGGGCTAGCGTACCGTCTCCTGTCCTGAGCACGTGGGAGCGTGTGGGTGAGGTGCCCCTGGACAGTGCGTGTGTGGCAGAACCCCTGTCAGCCTGTTTCCTCTTACAGAGCCATTCCTGTCGAAACACCTCTGAGAAACCCCTCTGTTTTTTATCCACTGTGTGAAAAGAGAGAGAGAGAGATTTGTGTTGGGTCTGGAAGCTGATGGGAGGCTTACTATAGGTCTACTACAGGTTTACTTCAGGTTTACTATGGGCTGAGTATAGATTCGCTATGGATTTGGCATTGGTTTATGATGGGCCTCCTATGGGGTTCATATGGGTTTACAGTGTAGGGTCATTCTGGGCTTACCCCTGGTTTATAATACCACTGCAGTAGGTTTACACATTTGGACACAGTGTTCCCTTGGCATGTGTGAACACTGGGCCGTGTGTGCGAATGTACTTTCAGCCTGTCTACTACAGCTTTACTTTATGGGGAACTTTATGCAGTCAACAACAAATTACTCAGCCAAGTTTGAGCCCCAGGCCTCAGGAGTAAACCTGTTGTAAATCTGCGTCCAGCAGGGTTACAGCATGATTTTTAACCCCTTCTTGCATTTCACATCTGGGCCTCCATCATAGAGCGTTTATGGCTGCGTTCACTATAGGTTTACAATAGGTTTATGTGTGTGAGCGATAACATACTGCCACATTTGCAAATTAAGCTTCATGTGTAATTCTGTTGTAGATCTCTTGCCTATATTTTTTCCAACAGATTGACAGTATCCTTACTTTCTTGTTCCCATATCTTCACACACTTGGATAGTCTGAGTGGGTTCCGCATTTTAATATATGTAATCCTATTATAAACCAATTCATAATAGCTTTACTATTCATCTACTTCAGGTTTACTTCTGGTCTGTGTACAGGTTGTTTACTCCTGGTTTCACACCAAAACATAATAGACTTACTGCAGGTTGAAGACAGATGATGTACTGTACACCTACCACACGCATGTGAGTGATTGTTCTATATTCTCGCTGTAAGCTTGTGACAGGCTTACTCTAGGATTACAACAGGCTTGTTAGGGATTTATAAGCATGTTTACTATAAGCTTACAAGTTTACTCTGGGTTTCCTATAGGCTTCAACAATTTTGTTATGGTTTTATGAATATAATTACTATGGGGATGTTACGGGTTTACAATGGGCTTATATAGGCTTGCCATTGGGTTTATTATAGCCTTACAACAACTTTAATATACATTTATTAGAGGTTTCCTAAAGGCTTACATGGGATTTGCTATGATTTTACAAACCACTTTTACTATCAGCTTGTAACTGGTTTACAGGGGGGTTCCTATGGATTTACTACAGGTTTGCCATGGGTTTGCTATACGGCTTACCACAGTTTCTTGATAGGCTTACAACAGGTTTACTCTAAGCTTACAACCATTTTACAATAGGTTTTACAATAGCCTTGCAATAGCTTGACTATAGGTTTATAATAGCTTTACCATAGACATACAATGGGTTTTCTCTGGGTTTACAACAGATTTCATAAGCCTGCTCATTATAGACTTGCAACAGGTTACTGCCAGGTTTACTCTGGATTTACAACAGGTTTACTCTAGGTTTACATATCAGGTCCAGCTTTCAAATGGGGACACCTCACCCTGCCTTTTGCCTGCTGATGTATTATAGGAAGACATTTGACAGCTGGCCCGTACGCATTTACATATCTTCTAACACAAGCCCAGGAAGGTTGGCCCACACACAAGGATGCAGTCTCCCAGGCAAGCATCTTTCCTGGAGGTACCTTGAAACAGGCATCTCTGGTTAGTGCATCAGCACTAGGTAGCTCCAAATTTTGCCTCCCAAGAGCTGGGGCCATTACTGCCCAGCTCAGATGGATTCTCCTCCACTGATGCTTGTTGTATAATATTGTGCAATGGGCTCAGGTTTTGCCAAACACTGCCACTTGGTTTCATAGCCTGGTTCTACCAGGTATCAGGCTGTATTAATAGAGACTTTCTTTCACTAGCTAATCCATCTCCAAGGAAGTGGAGACAGTATTATTACAACCCGTATTTTACCATAGGTGGGAACTGAAGCACAGAGAGAGGAAGGGAAGCATGTCAGGGAGAACCCAGGAGTCCCTGCTCTAACCTGCTAGACTTCAATCCTTTCTCAGGGCTGGGTTAGAGTCCAGGTGTCCTGGCTCCTAGCCATCATGCTGCAATCACCAGACCCCATAATGTTCCCTGAATTGGGACTACAACCTAGGAATTTAGTGGTTAGTGTTGGGGTAGCAGGAAGCATGAGTCAGGAAGGAGCCACCTGCTCAATTAACATCCTTTTGGCTACAGCCCTAAGTAATGTCTTCACAGTTGAAATTTTCCTCTGAACCCAAATTTCAGCAGTAGTTCACAGTACAGAACAAAGCAGCTATTGAAAAAGATGGCTGGTACCTAGGATGGCTGCCACCAGATTTGTGAGGAAGCACTATACCCAGCTGTATCTCCATCTGATGGGCGCTCATTAGGCTGTTGAACCCTCTCTCTGTCCCCTCTTCTTACATCTTAAATATTAACCACAAGCAATGCAAAGGATTGCTTGAAGATTGCCTCTCAAGATGGCTTGGGCAAGGTGTTAGTAGACGCTGTTCAGTAATCACTATTACTGACTTCCATTTTGTTGTAAACCACTCCTAAACCTCTCCACCTCTTTATCCCTCAGTCATAGCTTTTAGCAAGGTCTGAAGATCATGGCCAAATTGGAAGGCCATAGGTAATTACTGTAATTTAGCAACAGGCAGTGGAGGTCCAGACCAAGATGGTGACTGTTCAAGATGGCCACCACCACACTTTGAGGAGAGGCTGTCTCACAGCCTCTTCCACTAACCTTTTCTTAGAGGATTAAGCCCCTCTCTCTAACCCACAATTTAACAACTGTGGGCATGTGTAGATCCCGAGACCAAGCTGGCTACTACTGAAGATGGCCACTGCCGAGGTGTCAGGGGACATACTGTATCATAATGGCTGAAGGGATTGTGTACAGGCCTATGACTTTGTAACCTATGATGTGTGTAGTTTCCTTCCCCACCTTCGAGGAGTTCTTCCCCAACCTTAGCAGTGCCATCCTTTACAAAAAAAGTGCCCCTTTTAAACAGGTTTTAATATCAATGTCTTTGAACCGAGCGGTACTGTCATTTATGAATAAATCAATGGAAGATCTCTATTTCAAAGGCCTGTTTCTCCTTGACTCCGACTGGGGAGTGGCAAGGCAAAGCTGCCTCCGATGACTGGCTGATTCATGTTGAGGGAAGATAAATGATAGACAAATCGAGCTATCAGGGGTCTCCAGAGGTCCTATGCCCTGCACAAGACAGGATCAGCCATGTCCAAACCACTCTCATCTAAGTGTTCATTTAACCTGCTCTCAAAAACTTCTAGCAGTGGAGACTCCATAACCTCCCTAGGGAACCTGTTTCAGTACCGAACCTCTCAGAACTACTTAGCTGCAAGGCCCTTCCTCCTTAGCAGACTTTCTGTTTATAGCCCTATCTCTCATGGGAAACCCTACAATAACAAACCTGGGGAAAGTTGCTGAGTGATGAGATTCTTCAATTGCAGAACAGTGAGCAGCAGCAGACAGCCTTTTTAGACTCAAGGTCCTCCTTGGGAAATGCCAGCTCTTAGCTTGCACCCGTGTTTTGACTATGGAAAAATAATAGAGCAATTCTTCTGTAGCAAAGACGTCAGGAAGGCCACAGCAGGTAAGAATGTTTTTGACACTGTGGATTCCTATTTCAAATCTCTGGGTGCATCATGTGAGTATTTGCACTCCTGACAGTGCTACTATTGTGTGATACCCCACAGCATCCATAAAACAATCTCACAGCCCCCCAGGATGCTGTGGTTCCCTGGTTGAAAATCACTGCACTAAACTCTACACTAGGGTTGGACACAGGCTTGGGCAAAGTGAGTGGCTGCCCGGGGCCCAGACAGAAAGGGGGCCTGAAAATGGTGAAAATAATGGGTATTATTATCATTATCTCTGGTGAAAATAATGAGTATTATTATCATTATCTCTGGTGAAGGGGGGCCCAATACTAAAAGTTCACCCAGGACCACCAGGAGTCTAGGTAAGGTGCTTCTCTACACCCAGGAAGAGACCCTATTATAACCAACAGGCAAAGGGCTGGTGAGAGACCCTACCCTAACAAACCAGGGAACTACAACATCTATTCTGAGGCATGAGATCTGCGCTTGCCCTGTAGCCAGAGGCTGATCAGGCAGGGAGCTTGTGGTTGCACAAACAGACCCTTTGCAGCCGCTAACATGATATAATGTCACATGAGGGGATGAGCAGGTGGGAACCACCTGCCAGGCCAGCCTGCTGGGCAGATGTTCATTGTACTATTGGACTGTGCATCACTCTCTCCTCCCTCCCACATGAGCTCCAGCAAATCCTTCCAAATCCAGGAGCAAAGGGGCTTTTAACAAAGATGAAAAGCTCTTATGGTTTCCAGGGATGTAATTTACTTTGGACAATTAGAGGGAGTGGAGGAGAGGCAGGGGGAGAGAGAGCATAAGGGATGGGCAAAGGTGGGGGACAGTGGGAGAGGAAGGGATGTGGGGTGGGGGCATCTGAGAGTTGGAAGAATGCAGAGGGATGGATGGATGAACGGACAGACGGACAGCTACAGGGATGCATGTGAGGACAGACAGCCAGATTTTAGACTTTTTTACAAATCTTCATTATAAAAATGTTAAACCCACAATGTGAAAGCACACACATGTTGAGTCCCACTGGAGACTGGCCATGAAAGCAGTCATCAGTAACAAACTCCCTTTATCCCTCGAGATTGAAGCCCCCCTCCTCCCTCTTCACACACCCATTATGAACCACACACCCTATGAGCCAGATGACTATCATGGAGCCATTCTGTAGGCCAGATCCGGAGTGGGGAGTGGGGGGCGGGGGGTAGGTCTGTGGACTGAATCCCCTGCACAGAGCCACATTATAAACCCATGGGGGTGGGGGAAGGAGGAGGGCAGAAATTTGGTCTGTGGTGGGGCACAGTGTTAATTACTGTGGCTCTGGGAGTCACAGCAGCTGCTGCTTATCCCACTGCCAAATTTCCCACTCATGGGCAGCTCCCAAGCCAGATGACACAGCCCCATGCTTTGGATCTAGCTTGTGGGGCTGCCCCCATGCCTCAGGAATCTGGTGGGGAAATGAGTGGTGGCTGCACCAGGGCTGTAGCAATTAACCTTGCTGCTGCTCGCCCCGGTGCAGGAAGACTGTGGGCCAGGTGACACAGGTCTGAGGGCTGGATCCAACCCTTTGACACCCCTTCCATGGATGGATGGAGGGAGGGAGGGAGCCACAGAGAAAATAATGGATAGAGGGAGGGATAAATAGATGAAGGGAAGGATGGAGAGATGTATGGATGGATGGATGGGGTTAGGCAGAGATTAAAACCTGTGAGGGGAGATATAGATAACAACAAACCATTGGGAAGGGAGGCTTTAGGGTGTGCGTATTGGGTGGATGCCCTAATGACAGCCGCCAGGGAGCCCGTGCCCCAGCAGCTGCAGCTGGGCAGGTTGGATGGAGCCAGCCACAGGACTTTGTTTGCCCCTCGCTGCTCTCAGGTTCTTGGCACAACACTCCTACCCCCATCTCTGCCCTGGGTTGTATTAACAGGGTCACTTGCAAATCAAAGGAAATGATTCTCCTGCTTTGTTCAGCACCCGCGATGCCTCCCGTGGAGCACTGTGTCCAGTTCTGGGCCCCGCACTTCAAGAAAGACGTGGACAGATTGGAAAGTGTCCAACACAGGGCAGCAAACATGATGAGGGGCCTGGGAGGCAGGAGTGATGGCAGGAGGGACCTGAGGCAAGAGAGATCTCAGGAAGTGGGGATCTGGGGCAGGAGGGAACCAGGGCAGCGGGATGTTAAGTAGGGGGATCTCAAGAAGGGGAGGACCTGGGGCAGGGAGAATCGGGGAGAAGGGGAACCTCAGGAAGTGGGGGATCTGGGGCAGAAGAAACCTGGGGCAAGAGAGACCAGGAGCAGGGGAATCTGGGGCAGGACCAGTCTCAGGAAGGGGGATCTGGGGCATCAGGGATCTGGGGCAGGGAGATCTCAGGAAGGAGATTTGGGGCAGGAGGGACCTGGGGCAGGGGGATCTGGGGCAGGAGGAACCTCAGGAAGGAGGATCATGGGCAACAGGGATCTGGAGCAGAGAGATCTGCAGCATGGGGGCCCCAGGAAGGTGGGTCTAGGACAGGCATTCCCCTCTTGTGAGACGGGGTCCTGGGGCAGCATCAGTGGGGCCCCTGGTGACAGACTGCCGTGGGGGGGTGGGAATCACGGGGTCCGTGTCCCCCAATGGGAGCAGGGCAGGGTACAGGGCCCTGGAACCCCCTCCCGTCCAGCTCCGTTGCCGTAGCGACCGCGTCCCCAGGCTCAACCAATCCGAAGACTCCCGGCCTACACTCGCGCTCCCATTGGCGCAGAGCTGGGCATGGTTCGGCAACCCATTGGGTCGCTCCGCTGTCCGTTGCCGGGAAGGGGCGGGGCTTTCGGGAGGTACCCGGGTAGGGTGAGAGAGGTGGGGGGCGTTGCATTGGGGTAAAGAGATGAGCTGGGGCAGCGGGGAGGGGGCAGTAGGGAGGGGCGACGTGTGGGTACAAGTGGGCGGCAATGAGGGAGGGGCAGAATGAGGGTGCAGTGGGGGAGGGGCAGAGGCGGGTGGGGAGAGCAGGGCCCAGGCAGCAAAGGGGAAATTGTGGGTGTGATGGAGGAGGGGGGGAACACGTTAGCACCAGCAGGGCAGGAAGCAGGTGTGTGGGAGGGGAGATGTGGCTGCTGCAGGGGAGGGGGCGGGGGGCATCCTCTGCATACCCCTCCCCTGCCCCCTCAGATCCAAGGACTCACAGTCCCAGCCTCCCTGTGCCAGATGCTGCCAACACACGGCAGGAGAAGGTCCTCCAGGGTCACAGGGGAGGCAGCACGAAGGGAAGGGGGCTTTTAGGGGAGAAAGGGGGCAGGGGTCTACTTGGAGGAGGAGGAGAAACGGGTGGGGGCCAGCACTGGAACCCCACCCCCACGGGTGGCAGGTCTACAACCTGTCTTTGTCTTCCAGCCATGACAGCGGCGGGCACTGGCACCGGCTTTGGCACCACCACCTGGTGGGGATTCTCCCCTGCACTGGATCTGCAGAAAGAATGTGAGACCCATCTCCTTCCCTGGGGGGCAGCACCAGCTTCCCCCCTCCTCTCTGGTCACTCACCCCCCATTTGTCTCCTTAAGCCCCGTTCCATTATCTGATCCCCCCCAAGACTCTGCGATATCCTGGCTGTGTGTCTCCTGGGTGACCTACAGTTTGTTCAGTCTGGTTTTACTGGGGTGCTGTTCTCTTTCAGCAAGGTCCCCTCAAGAAGTGTGATCCCAGGCTATACCACGGAGGTTCCTGGCTAGAGGGTCTTGCCTCTCTGCTTAGAGTCAGCCTGATTGTAACATTTGGGGTCAGGAGGAAATTCCCCACTGGTCAGATTGGTGTGGACTGGGTGGAGAATTGCCTTTCTCTGTAGGGTTGGGGGCTAGCCTCTATGTGGGATCTCTGCAACCTTGGCTGCTGTGATCCCTCTGCTTTACTTGTGGCAGGTTCAGGTGTGATGTCTTGTATTGTGTCAGGGTTGACTGTGTAGTTTTGCTAAGAGGTTAAACAATGGATTTGTACAGGAGGGTTTCAATAGGGACGATCCTGCCTGAGGCAGGGGGTTGGACTAGATGGTCTCCAGAGGTCCCTTCCAGCCTTATTTCCCTATGATTCTATGACTGGGAACCTCTCTTCTAGCACTAAGATGCAGCCGCCTCTGGGTGAGGTTTGAGGGCTGGGAACCCCTCTCCTGACACTGAGCTGCAGCTACCTCTGGGATGGGGTATGCTGAGGATTATTTATACAGGTCTTGAATGCAGCAGTTTTCTTTCCCTCCAGGTCTGGAGGCTTCCCTGGACCATGTCTGCCAGTCAGAGGAGGGTCTGTCAGAGCTGAATATCCTGCTGGTAGGCTCTGTGGATGGCCGGCATGTCCTCAAGACCATGTGCCAAGCTCACCGTTGGCCACAGAGGAAAATCAATGTAGGTACCTCGCCTTCCTTCACTTCTTCAGGCCCATGCTGTGGAAGAGACTGCAGTCTAGTGAGGCAAACACAGGAGACAATCTGCAGAGCTGGTTTCTATCGCAGTCTGGGAGAGGAATAGTGTTTTGGGGGTCAGAGCAGTGGGGGACTGGGAGCCAGGACTCCTGGGTTCTACCCTTAGCTCTGGAAGGTAAGTGGGATCTGATGGATTAGAGCAAAGGGTCGTGGGTCTTCCATCCTAGTGCTGAGAGAGGAGTGGGGTCTTGTGGATTACAGCAGAGGGGCTAGGCACCAGGGCTTCTGGATTGTCTCTGGGTACTGGGCCTGCTTGCCATTTTACATGCTGTTTAGGGTCCCTCCCCACCACCCTGTGTGGTGTTCCGATCTCAGTGCCTCTGTTATGGGGTTGGGCGCAATGGCACTGTCTGGAGTGCCCTGCGGAGCTGTCAGAACCATTGCTGCATTTGCACACAAGTGTCACAACTCATCAGGGTGACAGGAGCACAAGAGCAGGAGCTGGGCTAGGCACAGGAGGTGCCCTGAGGCAGGCAGGGTGGTGGGGGTGGAGAGGAGGGAGCAGACTGTGGTTGCCTCTGCTGTACCCTCAGTGCCCTCCCTGTGCCCCTCAAGATATTCCCCCCACCCTCCTCACCAGAGGAGCAGGTCTTCTTGAGAAACTCTCGCATTTGCCCAGCTTACATCTCCTGATTCCTACATGCCTGGGGTGAAAGTGTGTGTGTGTGTGTGTGTGTGTGTGTGTGAGTGACAGGAAGAGCATGGAAAGAGACAAGCAGGAAGGGTTGTATGAGGACGTCTATAAAACGCGATGTCTTTCTCCAGAGAAGTAGAGATGCTTGGCAAGGGAAGAAGCGCATATCCCTCTCTGTACCCAGCACTCCTCCAACAGCCAGCTCTTGCACCGTGGCCCTCCACAATGCCCCCTTCTGGGTTTTAGAGCAGCCAGAAGCACCCCACAACCAGCTCCTGCTCCACTGTTCCTCCTCACAGCACCCCCTGCTAGGGTTGGAGTAGGGGAGCTCTTCCCCATTCACCACTCTTGCTGTGCTCCCCACAGAACCCCACCTCAGAAGAGACCAGGCCTGTGTATCATAGAATCATAGAGAAGTTGCGCTAGAAAGGCCCTCCAAAGGTCATCTATTCTAACCTCCTTCCTGAGCCTGAGGCAGAACCATCCCTACCCAAACCCTCTTATACAAATCTATAATCTAACCTCTTTGTAAAACTGTCATTAAGGCTGACACAACACAAGACATCACACCCAAACCTGCCACAGGTAAAGCAGGGGGATCACAGAAACCAGTGTGCTGCTGCTGGAAAAGTTTGTTAATGTATGCTGGACAGAGACCAGGTAGAGAGACTACGCCTCTGCTACAGAGGAAGAAAAAAACCACGACACTCCACATCAATCTGACCATGGGATAAAATTCCTTCTTGACCACAACTATTGTGATTGGTCCGACCCTCAGTGGAGGAGTAAGAACATCTAGCCAGGAATCTCCAGGTTTAAATTTCAGCAAGAGCATTTGGATTTCTTAGGGACACACTGTCCCCAGCTGCTTTTATAGGAGGCACCACAAACATCAAAAAGCATGGTACAGGGAAGGCCCCCTTGCTGAAATACAACTATCTCCAGGGTGAGGTACATTTGGGGAGCGGCGGGGATTGGTTATACAGGAACCCTTCACCAGGTGCAGGGATGTGGGCACCTCTGAAGCAGATGGGTCTGTAACTGGTACAGAGGCCAATCCTGTGTTGTGTGGCTTACTTTCATTCTTTCCCCTCTCTCAGTTCTACATTGTGGAAAATAACCCTGAAGTGCTGGCCCGGCAGCTGCTGTTCCTCAGCCTTGCCCTAGAGCCTCAGGAGAAGATGGGGCTTCAAGGTAAAGTCCTCCAAATCCCTGGCCTGAATGATCAGTCTACCACCCCCCAGAGTGGGAGAGAGTCCAGGTGTCCTGTCTCCCAACTATCCTCCAAAAGACCCTGCTCTCTTCCCAAAGCTGAGGTAGGACCCAAGCATCCTGGCTTCCAGCCCTCTAGACTCAGGTGCTATGAAATCCTTTTTGGAGTGTCACACAGCATTAGCACTGTGAGATGTGCAAACACCTACACACAATTCACAAGATAAACCAAGAGATTTCAAATTGGAATCCATAGTGTCAAAACATGCTGACCTGCTGTGGGATCCCTGAGTTCTTTGCAACAGACAAATCTCTCAATTATTTTACTGTAGGCAAGAAAAGAGTGAAAGCCAAGAGCTGGCAGTTTCAGAGAAGGGGAACCTTGAGTCTAAGCAGGATGAGAGCCAGTACATTAGAGACCCCACCTTTTTTTCTACAAGCTGGAGTAGAACCCAGATGTCCTCATTTCCAGTACCCCCTGCTCTAACCCACCAAACCCCAATTTCCTCCCAGTGTTGGGATAGAACCTAGGAGTCTTGGATCCTGACATCCTTGCTGTGACCCCACTCCCTTCCCAGAGCTTGGATAGGCATCCTGGCTCCTAGCCCTCTGTGCTCTAACTAGATTCTACTCCCCTATTTTAACTGAGGGTAGAACCCAGGAGTCCTGGCACTCAGTCCCACTGGGACAGAAGGCTGCTGTTTCCAGCTTTCCATGTCTCCCTTCTTCACAGAGAAGAGTGAGACGTTCCTAGAACTGCTGGGGAACAGCCTGATGCGCAGCCCCACAGCCACCTACCTTCAGGAGAAGTCGGACATCTTCATCCGCTTGGCCACTGACCCAGACTTCCAGCAGTGCTACCTGCCAGTCCTGGACATGGCAGGCCTGAAGGTGAGTCCCCTGCCAGCGCTCCTTGGGTTTCACCCACCTGTGCCCAGGGCCACTGCTGGGCATTGGAAAACAGCATGCCCTCACTGTGTCTCATGGGAGATGGAGTCTGGGTGCCACTCCATCATTCCCTGCAGTGGGCTGAGCACTGTGGATGCACTACATTTCCCATAATCATAAACTCATAAAGAAGGACTGGAAAGGACCCCCAGAGGTCATCTAGTCCAACCCCCTGCCTCAGGCAGGGTCATCCCTATCCAAACCATCCCATACAAATCCATAATCCAATTTCTTCGTAAAATTGCCATCAACCCTGACACAACACAAGACATCATACCTGAACCTCCCACCAGTAAAGCAGGGAAACCATGGCAGCCAGTATCCTGCTTCCAAAAATGGTTATTAATATATGGTCAAGAGATCCCAGGTAGAAGCTACACCCCTTGGTACAGAGGAAAGCAAAACTCCTACAGTCTGCACCAATCCACACCAGTAAAATTCCTTTCTTACCCCAACAGTGGTGATCATTTTGATCCTAAGTGGAGAGGTAAGACCCTCTAGGCAGGAACCTCCACGTTTAAGTGCCAGCAGGAGTATTAGCACAGATGTCACAATCCCCAGCCTGGGCTGCAGCCAACACCCAATGCCTCTGAGGAAGGCTTAAAAACACCCTTACATGTGTAGCAGAAAATGGGAGAAGGCAACCAGCAAAGCTCACCTCCATCCTTGGCAAAGTCTTTGAAAAAATTATCAAGGCTCACATTTGCGAGAGCCCAGCAGGAAAAATTATGCTGAGGGGAAACCAGCACGGGTTCGTAGCAGGTAGATCATGCCTGACTAATCTAGTCTCTTTTTATGACCAGGTTACAGAACACCTGGATGCAGGAGTAGGGGTTGACGTCATTTACTTAGACTTCAGGAAGGCCTTCGATACGGTATCCCACACCATACTGGTGAACAAGTTAAGAGACTGTGACTTGGATGACTACACAGTCCAGTGGGTGGCGAATTGACTAGAGGGTCGTACCAAGAGAGTCGTAGTGGATGGGTTGGTATTGACCTGGAAGGGTGTGGCAAGTGGGGTCCCACGGGGCTCGGTCCTTGGACTGATACTCTTCAATGTCTTCATCAGCGACTTGGACGAGGGAGTGAAGTGTACTCTGTCCAAGTTTGCGGATGACACAAAACTGTGGGGAGAAGTGGA